GGCGAGCGAGGCCGAACCATAGCTGTATACCGTGTGCACCTACAGATCGGTCCCGCTAAGCTTGTCATTGATGATGTTTTGCAGAATATCGCTATGTTCATATTCGCGGGTTCTTCGGGCATTCATGTGGAATTACCAATCAAACGAGAGCTAATGACCTAAATTAGGTCACCTAATACATGTGCGGGCTGGATCGAGGTGTGATGGGCCCTCAAGCGGCATTGACTGGGAACGAGTGAAATGCAGTTCCTCCTCCAATCAATGACACGAAACTCACTAAGATGTTTTCCAATGTGATCGCAGCGACTAACGCAAGAGAAGGCATCCAATCGCAATCAAAAACATGCATGAATTGCATGAGCAGTCGAGTGAGTGATACAAAAAATAATCGAGGCGTTGGACGAATCCACACAACAAGACAATGATGCAAAATGATGTCACTAGCCTAGCGGTGATAGCGAAATCTCGACAGCATTCCTTGTGAATGCTCTCCATGTTCTTCTAGGGTTCTACTGGAACTGCCGGGGGAGCTGCCACCAATTCCGCCCGGCAAAGCGGGCAGCGGTAGCTTGCTGTTCTGGACGACTCGAACCATCTGAAATAGTCATTACAAGTATCAATCAGCGCTGTCTTGTGTGAATCTACACTGTAGATCATTATGAGTGGGTTGAACGAGCCAGTCAAAGACTTACCCAGTAATACACTCGTCATGGAAAACATGGCCACAGCTTCTGAGTTGACGCAAAGAGCTCTCTCCTCCTTCTCCAAGGTGCTGAGAGTAATTAGACGTCAATCTCCTACAAGTATTGAATTGAACTGGGGAGGAAATTTGTGTTCACGAAGAGCACTTTCAGCAGGTTTACTCGTTAGAAATATTGGGAAATCAAAAATCGAAATAATTGGCAACTTGGAAGCACTAGGGCGTGCTTCTTTACCCAAAGACAGATCGAGCAATCCTGGTCATCTTCGACCGACGAGGAGTCCACAACTAGGGTCTGTTCGGTTAGGACGGCCATGACGCTTTCTGGCGAGTTTCGAGACTTCTGTTCTTCACGAGGGTATTCCCGACTCAACCCCTGAGTCAACCGCTCGTTTCTGTCGTAGTCTCCATGTCGATTCGCTCACCTTGTAGAAAGCGAAACAAGCTATGGTCATGAATATGAGCGTGAGGATGGCACAGAAGATCATAGCCACATGTTGGTCTGCCGCCGTGAATTGATAGGTCTCATCTGGAGGTACGTACGCAAAGGGTGTAATCGAGACTTTCGTGTTACCTGTCTCACCGCTGCGGTCATTCTGGTGGACGTAATAAAAAGGCATTTTCACTACAAAACTGCAGGGAGGCATTCGGATGTACGTTGGCGTTATTATAGTATTCCAGTGACCAGCTTTTGGGATCCGGAAAATATCGCTACTGGCGGTACCCGAAAGGCAGTCTCCTCAAGAGACGGAACTCCGCGCGGCACAATAGCTGCTGAACATCTATTTTCCTGGAAACAGAATTTGTATGCGAATAGACCTGTGTGATCCCGTAGGCAATGGAAGGGACTTATCCGAGTCCACTCCCATAGGGGATTTCGTGTAAGGCGAAAGCAACGTCAAAATATATCAGCAGCGTTTCGATTTTCGGGCGAGCGAGAGTTCAATAACGTGTGGTGACTTGGGAACAGATAGCGGCCTTACGGACGACGACAATTAATTCTAATAATTCAGTTTACCGTTACCTGCTCTACTCATGTTCTGGGCCGAAAAGGTAGTTCCTGGCAAGCCAGTGGAGATCAGCTCCGAAGCTTTGGAGGGAGCCACTCTGGAGCTCCTCAATGTCGTCCTCTCGGGGTCCCAGCATAAGGCTCAGCTCCTAGTGTCGACTGATGGCGAGGAGAAGTTCATGGTGGCCCGCCTCGGTGACGCTCATCCGAATGTCCAGTTGGGCCTGGAATTTGAAGAGGATGTGACCTTCTATGCCGAGGGTACCAGGCAGGCTCAAAGAGCTGCTGTGAGGAAGGCTCATGTTCAGGTGGAGAGATTACTATCTCTGGCAACATCGGTTTCCCTGAGGAGGACATGGAAGTCGATGGTGATGAAGAGGAGGACGATAGCGATCTCGACGAGGACATTGAGGGACCTATCCCTGTGGCTATGGTACAGCTGGAATGTCAGGGAGGTGTCGTATTCGGAGGGCTGGTCTTTAGGAGTCTGGGGATGAGGACGAAGAGGAGGATGAGGAGGAAGAGGAAGAGGGAAAGATTGAGGAAATCACTGAGGAGCCCATAGCTGGTAGACGAATGGGTTGTTGGTTGGGTAGTTATTATGCGCGGATTGCTCATTGAAAGTCGCGGGTTCGTTCCCTGGCGATGCAGCTCCCATTCCCATCCATGTTGTCGCTTTTGAATAGGCCCCAAGAAGGCCGCTGTTGAGGAGAAGAAACCCCAACAGAAAATCCCTGCTAAAAAGACTCCCGAGAAGAAACCCGAAGTGAAGGAAGTCAAGAAGACCATCGAGAAGAAGGAGGAGCCCAAGAAGCAAGAGCCCAAGAAACAACAGCAGAAGGAAGAACCTGTTGTGCGCACCAAAACTTTGGCGGGCGGCCTCAAGTATGAGGTTATTCGTCCCGGCCACGGTGGCACTCCTTGCCCTGCCGGTAAAACTGCGAAGGTAGGAATAGTTTATTTTCTGAAGTAATCGCGGATGGCTGGCGATAGGTGAGGTACGCTGGTCGTTTGGCGAAGAATGGAAAGCAGTTCGATAAGGGTTCCATCAACTTCCGTGTGGGCATGGGTGAAGTCATCAAGGGATGGGATATGTCTGTGAAGGGTATGCAGGTCGGAGAGGTGAGTTCGGGATGGGGGGTGTAGTTGGCCTGCTTGCTTATGATATCGCCAGGTCCGTAAATTGTTCGTGCCTGCACATCTTGCTTATGGCCGCGGTGGCGCTCCTCCCGCTATTCCTCCGAACGCCGATCTTGTCTTCGACATGGAGTTGCTCAACATCCAAGGTAATGCAAGGTCAACGACCGCCTACCCAACATGTACTTCCGCAGGTGGCAAGAAGAAGGCCGGTCGCCGTTAAGGCTCTTTACTTGAGAGGCGATGACTATACTACCAACGCCAAACGTTAAACCCGTTTCTTACAATCGTGGTATGTCGCGTGACAAGTTACTTTACTAGATCGAAACGGGAACACTTGTTAACAGCTCCCGGGAAGTGGATGCGCTCCGATGGTCATCACTCCGACAGTAATATACCTGGCAATGTCAGGTGGAATATATTAGGTGTCGACGGTAGAGTGTATGAAGGGCAAACATTCAGCCTCTTGAAACTTGTGAGAACTAAACATGAGATCAGCGCACAATTATGATATGCTGATAAGATAACGCTCCCCAGCGTGGAACTGCATGCGACTACCGTCCTTACGCCCGATTATTATCAAAACTAATAATTTATCGTTTCAGTTTATAATGATCTTGGACGTATCGAGGAACTAACTCCTGACCAATTGCCATGCAGACGTTATACCCTAACACCACGCACATGGCTCGACAAAGTGATTTATGTGGGTTTCGCGGCTGACGAACTAGCAGCATATCCAGAGAAATGTTTGTTGCCGATAATGGCTAGCCCTCGAATATTTTCCTCAACGTTTGCTAGGGAGTTCGATTTCTTATACCGCACATCCGATAGAAATATGTAACTCATCTGGCTTCCGGAGCTGGGCGTCTACTGAACCGTGTGATTCATCCCGATTCACGGACGTGTCGAGAATTGTATCCCGGGCGTGAGCAAAATGACTTGTCACAAGTCACTTGTGTTATGCATTGTACAAAAATGGTGATGAGTGATTTCTGATGGAGAAATGGTCACAATGTTGAAGTACAACACTCATCTATTCGATCATCGAGAACTATGAGCACATGTTGTTACATCGGAGTTCGATTCTTCCCGCCGAGAAATTCCCGGGCTAGTCCTTTTCTGTCTCTCTTAGTATTCATGCACACAAACCATTTCTCTGATTCAAGATTCACTTCTCTCTGGCTCACCGAGCTAACTCAATAACGCCATATGGATGGAACATCTCAAGTCCAACAGATGCACAGGGTGTAGGATCGCGTCTCGAGGTGAGATTCTCAACGATACTCCAGTTGTCCCAGCGCTGCGCTCCTTCAACCTACACACACCTTTCCTCTACAATAGTCAGTTCGGAAACTCAGTCTGCACGCCAGTCACCCGAGTATGGAAAAGACAGCGACCGATAACACTCGAAAAACTCTTCCCAAGGTTGAAGTTCAGAAACGTTTGAAACATCATCACGGAAGCAACATGAGAGTGATCAATCGTCTCATTAGTTTTTCCCTTCCTTCCTCTTCTGCGACTTCCGCAGACCGGGGTCGAGTATACTGAGAAAAGACAACTATACAAAACAGACCTGCTCACGTGGATGGGCGAACGTACTTCTTCCGTAAAGCAAGTCTGTGTGGAGTTATCTCAACGCATTCATCCTCCTCGATGAATCCCAGAGCTTCATCGAGCGTGAACGGCTTGTGCGGCGGCAAAACTTCCTTTATTTCCTTATTCTTCCGTCGTATTTCCTGATCTCTCTTACCTAATTTACTGCATTCAAGAAAGCGTCAATATTCTGAATCGTCTCAGATCAGCTGCTGCCACGGCCTCGAAACCCCATCGTACCTTTTGTGGGGTTCATGTCGAGCTCTTGGTCTCCATTATGGATCCCGATGATTTGACCAACATAAACTTGATCGTTTGGTTTGACAAACAGTGTACCTTCCTCTACTGTCGTAAATGATCGACCTTTCCATGTTTCACCTTTATGAGACATATGAACGAGATCATGTTCAGTACAGATGCCCTGCCCAGCCGAGATGAGCACCTAAGCCATAGTGGTAGTAGCTATTAGATGGGCATCATCGAGTACCTTGTCACGACTGGATGGAATAGATTTCTGCCACTTCTTGAAACCAACTAACGTTGACATCATCACTGCCTTGCCTTGAGACTTCTCCCGAACGTAGGTTCTGAAACCCTGAGAGGAATGGCATTATACATTTGCTTACCACCACCAGAAAGGCCCCAAACCTCAGAGTGACTCACCATGAGATTCCTAGAGCTGATCACAGCCTTGAGGAGGGATTCGTTACCCTTCTGTGGCAGCAACTCAGATAGCTCTCCTCCTCGCGATGATAGCTTGTCAGCGAAGATGCTAGCGAGCTCATTCTCGGCCAGTATTACAACCTACCCATCTCGTGAGGGACTCCACTAACCCGCGTGGTGCAACGGTAGGATTTCAACTCTCATACTTTCTTAGGGTAAACTTTCGTGTTGCCAAACCAGTATGAATTGCTCTCTTATTCCAGAGCCCATGGTAAGTATATCGATTCCACCTACCTCCTCATAGGGCTCTTGCTTCTCTCCATCCACTACTCTAGTGACTACTGTTGGCTGACTCACAGTCATTTCGAAGCCCTTCAAGAGGGATGAGTGGCAATACTGTCAACAACAATGCATAAGCAGTACCTCTCGTCGCATCTGCTCAGCCAGTATCGACAACTGGAGTTCTCCTCGTCCTTTCACAATCAGACCATCCTTTTCCGGTGTCCTCTCAGCCTGAAGAGAACGAAGTACCAAGCACACGAACCAGCAGCTCCAACGGACCTTGATCGCCACATTATTTGTAGTCTCTCGAACGAGCCGCTTCCACATAGCCTCTATAGTGAGGAATTTACCATCCTTCCCAGCTAGTGGGCTCGTATTGACAGACAACTTCAGTGACATCACAGGAGGATCTGACAGTAGCAACGTCCTTCACTTCACCTAGTCACACACCCTCGATCAGCATCGACAATTATCGTTTTCTAATATTCTGATATAGTACCGTGTTGGAAACGTGGAAGTCTCACCAATACTACTGATGTTGCCTCCCTTCCTACCAATCGGAATGCTAGGGATCGATTCTACATCCTGTGCTGAGCAAATGGTGTCTGCTACAGACGGTACGATATTACCACCCAGGGTGGCCGCAACATATCACCAGTAGAAGCTGATTTCACTATCTAAACACGAGGATCTTCATCGGCCCACGACGATCGAGTATCACCTCTCGATTGAGCCCTTCATAACGGTAAGTTCCCGTACTTTTTCTTTCC